CTGTTTGAGAGAGAGAGAGAGAGAGAGAGAGGACAAGTTCATGTGTTTTGACTCCAACAAAATGGTTCGTCATCCCTCGAAAAAACAAACATGGAATGAATGCATTTGATTTGATTTGATTCCCAAGGCTTAAAGTGGGATGCAATGAAATTTCTTGCAGAGGATTCATGAAAAGTGGAGGAAGCTCATCTTAGCACGCCCCCTCTGACCGTATCTGTCCTCTCCATTATGATTCGAGACAGACATTACGTGAATTGTTTTTGCGGTCACACTTGCAAAAACTCTTTACCGACAAGACAAAGACGATATGATAACGTGATGTTGTGCCAGCTATTAGTCGTTGACTCTATCCACTGATGTCATTGTCATTTGCCCGATTGCTACAGAATACATAATTACATTTTTATATTTGATTTATGTACCTTTCTAAATTTCAGTTTAGTTTTTTTTTTTTTGTATTACCAAATCTAATCTATCTATATGTTCATTCTCGGATTTGTTCTTCTCCTCGCAGGACATGCATGTGCTGCCGTGCTACATCATCTCTATATCTAGTTCATCAAGGTTTCTGCAAAGTCCAATATGACATTGAAGAGCCTTCACTCCCACCATGCAACATTGACATTTAAGTTAAAGTGCCTCTTATTCAGATTCTATCGGCGAGTAGACCTTTTGACATTTCAACCAACCAAAAAAATAAAATTAACACAAATAAAAAGCACCTGAGAAATCCAAAGAGAAGACGACAATATCCAACCAAGAAACAAAATTAATTCCAAGGCCCATCGTCGATGAGGTCAAATGCTTACGGAAGAGTGTTTCTTGTTCTGAGCTGGCCTGTCCTAATTAACCCAATCGGACAAATACCATATCACTCTCTCTCTCTCTCTCGGCCAGCCAACCCTCCTCCATCTCCTTCGAGTCATCCTGCGATAGGGATGAAGGGTAGATGTACCGCTCCGCATTGATTCGACGCCACAAACGGCTCATGGTGCCATTGCATCATCATTTATGGGCTTTCTCTCGAGCTGCATGCATCCATCCATAAGTATTCAATTCACCTGCAAACTTCCCCTCCCCCAAACAAAAAAGTCCCATCGATTCCTATTATATCACGTTGTATTCAATCAAATCGAGTGTGTACAAAACCCATGCACCTTTTTCTTTCTTCTTCCCGTCTCTCTACGGTCTTCTGGATTCGCAAGTCAGCGGTTCCGGTGGAAATCGGATGCTTCGTCCAGCAACGGTGACGATTAGGCGCACATTGCCCTTGCGGCTTCCCGGTCGCAGTGCCGTGTCGTGGTGCTCGCGGGTCGCACGGCCGCCGCGGTAGTCGAGGTCGGAAGGAAGCTCACGGCGTACGCTGCGAACTGACACGTGTCGGTCAGATCCTGATCCGGTCGCTTGCGACGGCACGCATCTCCATGCGCTGCCCCGCCTTGACTTATCGCCCGTCCCTCATTAAGTCACGAGCGCTTCGGTCCAACTAATGGAGCGTCCATTTAGAACCAACTGACGGTCTGGATTCAGCGCGCATGCGGGCCCCTCTCATCGGATGGTCATCCATTCCTTAGATCACGTCGCTCTTACGCCCTGTTGATTAATTGAGGAGTAAACTCGAGACTTTGGTACCTGCTCTGTGGTCAACGCCATCGCGAGATCTCCTCCGCAGATTTCAAACCCCCGCTCTCCCCATAGTCAACGACTCCCTCCATTAATAGACACCGCACTCTCTCTCTCTTCTTCTTCGCCTTCGATGGGCAACGGACTTGCCAGGCTCGCCTATTGCTGCCCCGGCGACGGGGCGCCGACCGGTCGCCGACGCCGACGCCATGGGGCTGTCGCCGTGACTTGGGACCCGTGCGACGAGGGGCTCGGCCATTCCTTCTGCTACGTCCGGCGCGATACCGAGTGCGGCGTCTCCGGTCGCCCCTACGCAGCCGCCGCCGCCGCCTCCACAGCAACGGCCTCCTCTAAGGTCCATCACTCCGAGGAGACAACCACGTTCCGGACCATCTCCGGCGCCGCCGTGAGCGCCAACGCATCGACACCGCTGTCGACGTCCCTCCTCGATGTCGCCGGGCCTATCGCGGCTTCCGCCTTCGAGAGCTCCACATCCTTCTCCTCCGTCGCCCTCCAGCCCGTCCCCCGGTTCTCCGGGCCGCTCTCCGGCCCTCTTGCGGCCGCCGACCGTGGGTTCATGTCGGGCCCCATCGAGAGGGGGTTCATGTCCGGGCCCCTCGACCACCGGGCCTCCCTCTTCTCCGCCCCCCTCGACAAGCCACTCTGCTTCTCCGACCAGCTCCGGCGCAGCCTCTCGCACGGGCTCCCTAGGCCCCGCCGTATGGCTGTGCGATCCCTCATCCGCGGGCTCACCAAGGCCGTAGCGAGGACCGTCTCCACTGCCTCGTACGGAAGCGGATCCATCGTCGCGCCCGTCAAGGGGCCAAAAGACTCCGGCTTGGCCGACGGCGGATTAACAAATCTCAGCGGAAGCAGTGGTCGGCATAGCGTGGAGGCGGCGCAGTGGTCGGATTCGCTCGACTCCTTAAACGGAAACCTCCAGTGGGCGCAGGGGAAAGCAGGGGAGGACCGCGTCCACGTCGTCGTGTCGGAGGAGCACGGTTGGGTGTTCGTCGGCATCTACGACGGATTCAATGGTCCCGACGCCACAGATTACCTGCTCTCCAATCTCTACCCGGCTGTGCATCGCGAGCTCAAAGGACTGCTCTGGGAAGACAAAAACGACACCTTTTGCCGCGAGCCCGTTGATGATCCCACCACTCCCGCCGCCCCGGATGAACATAACCCCACGGTTGCGACGAATTGGGCAGCAGACGACCGGTCGAGCAAAGAAGGAAGAGAAAACAAGAGGAAGCCAGTAGGTGCGGCGAGGAAGTGGGAGGAGAACCACCGAAGATGGAGGTGCGAGTTCGAGAGGGAAAGGCTGGAGCTCGACAGGAGGTTGAAGGAGCAATCGAAGCGGTCGAGTCAAGATCGCTCGGTGAACCACTCGCTGGTGTTGGAGGCTCTCTCCGAAGCCCTGAGGAAGACGGAGGAGTCTTTCCTGGACATCGCGGACAAGATGGTGTCCGAGAATCCTGAGCTGGCCCTCATGGGCTCCTGCGTCTTGGTGATGCTGATGAAGGGGGACGACGTGTATCTGATGAACGTAGGGGACAGCCGTGCAATCGTAGCACGGAAGGCGGAACCGGATTCGTGGAGCTCCGTAGGAAAGCCACGGAAGGATCTCGAGAGAATCAACGAAGAAACACTCTTCGAGCTTGACGCAAACGGTGGCGGTGGCCCATCTGGTGAGCCGACAAATCTGGTAGCCTTGCAGCTTAATTCGGACCACAGCACATCTGTCGAAGAGGTACACGTCCGATGTTGGGTGTTCTTTTCCTCTTGTGTTTTTGTGAGTTCGTTTGATCCTTCTTTTCTTCGCCTGAAAATAACTCGGTTTGATGTTTATGGATCAGGAAGTCGGAAGAATCAGAGATGAGCACCCCGACGACTCTTCTGCCATTTGGAATGATCGCGTGAAGGGCTCGTTGAAGGTGACGAGAGCTTTCGGTGCCGGTTTCCTGAAGCAGGTATTTGCTTCCAATCTGAACTCTTGACTTGTGTTCTTAGCGTTCATAACTTGCATCCAGTCATTTGTTTGTGAACCAAATCCTAAAAGAATTTGGATGCTCTGCCCCATTCAGATCTGAGAATTTATGATGATTAATTGTGAGCACAAAACATCAGATATCACTGGCTCGTCAGAGAATGCCTGACGATGTGCTGCTGTGTTTTTGCAGCCCAAATGGAACGACGGTCTTCTGGAGATGTTCAGAATCGAGTACGTGGGGAGCACACCGTACATCACCTGCAACCCCTCCCTCCACCACCACAAGCTCGGCCCGAAGGATGCATTTTTGATCCTATCGTCCGACGGGCTTTACCAATACTTCACCAACCAAGAAGCAGTCGCTCAAGTCCAAATGTTCGTCGCAGCAACACCCGAAGGCGATCCCGCTCAACACCTTGTCGAACAAGTCCTTTTCCGTGCAGCTAAGAAAGCCGGTAAATTCCACAAACATCTTATGGCGTTTCTACGAATGCTTAGTTCAAGCAGACTAACATCCCATCCCGATATAAATCTTTGCTGCAGGCATGGACTTCCACGAGCTGCTTGAGATTCCACAAGGTGATCGGCGGCGGTATCATGATGATATCTGCGTCATCATCATCTCCTTGGAGGGACGAATATGGAGATCCTGTATGTAAATAGGATTACACTGTAGAAATTAAACAGCCATAGAGATTGATTGATTGATTGATTACAACAACAACAACATAAACAGGCTCTGAGGTGGTGGTGGTATAATACGGACTGCAGAGCTACAAAAGCTACTTGGCACCTAAAACCTTACTTCCCTCATCTCCCTCCGCCACATTGACGAAACCTTTCTTTTGTTGGCATTAATTGAATTCTTGGCCATGTCACAAAGCGTCCGATGATCGTTGGCGTCAAGTCCCTTATGCTAAGATGCGAACTTTGACTGACCATTGCATTCCCAGTTTAGATTAGGTAATGCTTCCTTGGAATTTCTCACACCGAGACAGGAAAGTGGAAGCAAGTCATCCGAAAAATCATGGAAATAATAAACTTGGAACTATGTGAGTCTCTGGTAAACGTTGTGTTGTCGACCTCCCACTTCAGGGAAAAGGAGACATGCTTGACCTGTATTCCCACGCATCATAGTTTTGATACGATTGGAACTGTTACTTACTTATATAAAGATTTCATATATGTTGATATAAAATGGATCGCACTGGTGTTTTCACAATCCTAGAAACCTGTATGATACAATGCTTTTATTGTTGAGATGTCACACGGTATATATACACATTGTAAGAGGAGTCGTCCTGCACGCATAGCTCGGGCTTCAAGATGGATGGAGGCTGTTGATCTCTTCTTAAGCACTGTGGCAAGATTCATCATCATCAACTCTGACTCATGAGAAGCAAACTGGTGGTCTCATGATCCGAGTTGCTGAACGGGTGATCTTCTTTTTGACTCGAGACTTTTCTTCCTTCCTCGCAACTCGAAAGCTTTGGTTCTTCTGCTAAATGCCCGTCTGTGGCACCAATGCTTTTGCTCTCCTCCTTCGTTGCCTGGTATGTCGCCCGTGTCTTCTTAAGCTGTGCACGGGTTCCAGTGTCAGAATTCGATCTTTCCTTTCCGACGTCCAGAATTGGATTCTTCTCCCTCCGTGTGTAATCCTCGGAGTGCGAATTGCTTCTTGCGTAGTCACACGAGGCCGCTCCCGTGGCATGGGATGACGGCCAGCTTAGGTTGAAGCTCCCGAACCCTTGGATCCCACGAGAAATTTTGCGAGCCCGGGCGCGTTCTTCTTTAAGCAGCGGCCCCTTCTCCAGCAGCTTCAGGACCCTCTCTGCTTTGTTCTTCACCTGCAGTCCCCAGTTGAACCTGCGAGGAAAAAGGAGCCAAGAACAGCGACAGGTGAACATGGAATCATGTAGCACGCAGGATAAGGATCGATAATACTCCGAGTCCTCACCCCTTCTCATCGATACACCGAAGGTTGCCTATTCCCTGAATGACTTCTCTGTCGCACTGGAACTCCTCCGATACACTCTCCGGTCCATGAGTCAGGAGATGCTCGACAAGTATCAGAGCCTTGTACGGCTCTCTCCAGTTCTTCCCATCGAACTTTGAGAATCTGAAGAACACCATAAGAGATCACATATGGTTAGGGCTCCGCACACAAGAAGGGAGATGAATTCGTACTAACCTCTTGTGCAGAATCTCCACAATTCTCCAGTAGTCGTCGATCTCAAACGCAGCACGCGATATGCGACTCATTGTCATGGCATCAGGTGCCCATGGGTTGTCGCTATCGGTTGCCTCTTCGGTCAGCCTATGTTACCACCAAGACCAAATCTTAGAACCCTCGTAACAGAAAGAGGAGGAAGACGAAGAGGTAGTCCAAATCATCTCAGGTTGGACGAAGTGAGCTTACAGTTCAGCTGGAGTAACGTCGGTGAGAGCCAATCTCGCCGCCCGGACCTTTTCTTTGAGAAAGTAGGACGCCTGCTTCTTGAGCTCATCGAAGAAGGGAATGTCCATGGCAGTTCATCCGATCATCGGCATGACTTGGATTGGAAGACTACTAGTAGCATAAAGACCAAGGATTTTGATCCTCGAGCGATCCAGTTCTTGTGGGCGTAAGCAAGAAGAAAAGACGAGTGACTGCAACTGCTCCACCATCGCTCGAGAACCTACTCCTCTGTCATGGGTTTGATGGACCGCCATGCAGGTGGGCGATGAGGAAGTCAAAGGTGTTTGTTCGTCGTCTTGAGTTGGTTGTTTCGATGGCAACATCCTGAGCGGATTGAAGACTCCGTGGTTCTATTGCTCTTCTTCATCCTTTTGTCTCTTTAGGCAATAATTTCCTGAATTCTACCTTGTATTTTGCTTGATATCCTTCATCGTCATTCATCATATGTTCTCTGTCTTCGTGAACAAGAAACTCAGCATTGGTGATGAAACAAAGCCACTAAATAAGTTACATGAGATTACTGGATCTCGCAAACACCAGTCCTACTGCTGACATCTGCAGAAACATTATCTTATTGGATCTTCCGCAAATCCCTGTCACTCATATGAACATTAGGTAGGCATTGCCGAGAGAACAGATACATGAATTAAATACTACTCACGTCAAGTGAGCTTGTTAGATTTGCCTCCCTCCCTGACAAGTCTCCATCTGCGGTCTGTGTTCTCGGTTACATGCAGCCTTATGTGATTGCAGTTTCTTTCCCCCCTCCCTTGTCATTTCTATTTCCTCCGAGATTAGGTTACTCGAGTCATTATCCATGGTCCCGGTACTGACTTCGCTGCTGAAAGTCCACCGAGAATAGTTCGACCTATGACTCTGCTTGTACTTCCTGCAAGTATAAAGTAGATACAGATCCAGTAAACAATTCGACAGGAGGGCTTTAGAAGTGGAAAGTGGTGCGACTGCCAGATATATGCATGAGGAGATGATGATAACTCAAGTATGAGATCATGATTATGAGGGAAGGAGGAAGCAATGATGTTATCAGGGTGTGATGCTGTGGGGGGGACTTGGTTCTGTGTGTGGTTTTCCCTTTAAAGCAACAACAATTCCCTGCCTCAAATCTTGATGAGAAGCATGTGCAGCTCTTCGGATTGCAGATGATAACAGAGGATTAAAGGCGATACAGGGAGGAAGATAATAGCCCGAGAGCTGAAAAGAAGAAGTAATGATTACGTGATGGGCAAGATTTTTGCGTCCCAAGGTTGCGTTCCGATAGCTCTTTTTGGATGTCATCATCCTCCTGTAACACAATCCCTCTCTCTTTACTTTACATCTCATGCACCGACTCATCATAAGAGAGAGGCAATGAAACCCAAGGAACTGTAAAGCCACAAAAGATAGGCATTACGTAGTGCGGATCAGAATGCACACACCATCCAGTCGCCGACCCCTATTTCTGCAAGGCTCATCAAAGAATGCGTGAATAGAGGGGAAGCCAAGAGGCCGTGGAAGCAATCCAGAGATCCCGGGAACGAGTGTTTACTTCATATGCAACTGTTTCCATTTCTAATGATCTCAAAAGCCCACCGCGACTGAGGATCCCACGTAGAGCTCGCCTTTCCGTCATTACATATTTACTGATGGTTGTTGGTTTAACTTTGTCGGTCATCAACTCTTTTCCTTGTCCCTATACTGAGGTGAGTATGCCCGTTGTACTGCGATGCGTGTCCGAGAAGGACTTGCGAGTCCATTCAAAAGCGCTCACGATGTTTAATACTCACGTTGAAGAGAGCCCAACACCACCGACCTCAGAAGTAGAGAGAGAGAGAGAGAGAGAGAGAGAGAGAGAAGCAATAGGAAGGAAGAAAGAAGAGATAGA